TTTAAAGAACATTGATAAGATCTACTTAATGACAAACGGTAAGATAGCAGTATCGGGATCTTACTCTGATATAAGAGAGTCGAATACAGAGTACAGTAAATTATTAGCTGACATGGAAGAGGAGGAGGAAGAAAGCAGAAGAAAATCTCAGCGGGTTGTGACTAAATCTGAAAAAACCGAGAAAGAAGCTGCTATCCAGGTTTTAAAACGTGAAGGTACAGGAAGTGGTAATATATCTGATCACGTTTATATGAGTTATGCCAGAGCGGGAGGAAATTTAATTAAAGTGTTTCTGTTGATATCCTTGTTTTTCCTTGGCCAGGGTTTGGATAGTTTATCTGATTATTTTATAACTTTCTGGTAAGTAATACTATATTTACATAGTCTCTTTATCTCTTATGCTTTATTTATTTAACATAAACTTATATTTTGTATTATGAAGATAAAAATATCTAAAAAGTCATTGGACTAAGGTTGAATTATGCAGAAACATGAATAGCTAGAACTACATAGTTATTTGCGTAACAAAATGAAGCAGATAGACTCAGACCGATGCTGTTTTTGATCAGACCGTGGCTATGTAATCGATCGTTTGGCGATATTGCACGATAATCTCTCTATATATATATATATATTATATATATATATATATATATATATATTATATATATATATATATATATATATATATATATATTGGAATACTTGTGAGTTTCTTAAGTGGAAAATCAAAAAGGTTGAGAATTACTTTGAGTTAAAATAAATAATACAGCGAAGTATATGAGCCATAGTCAACATCAGATATGCTGGTGATACCGTCTTAATAGCAAGCAATATACAAGAACTACAAAATATAATAAATACGGTAGTTCACCACACCGAAATGTTCGGTTTACATCTAAATGTTTCCAAAACTGCAACTTTGCTTCGGAACCGGACAGATAAACACAAAAAACGACAAAGCAATGTAAAAGGACTATGAATATTGGAACTTGGAATGTCAAGAGTTGGTACAGACCTGTAGCTGCTATAAATGCTGTGGAACAACTGGAAAACATAGGAATGGATATAACGTCCAAGAAATAAGATGGCCAGATGATGGAAATATAAAAATAAGTAAATCCACCATCTTCTTCAGCGGTAACAAAAACGGAAGACATGAATTTGGAACGGGCTTTGTGATTAAAGACAACCTAGTACAGAATATACTAAATTTTAAACCTATAAATGAAAGGATATGCTACATACGAATGAAGGGAGAACGATACAACATTTCGATTATCTCAGCGCATGCACCAACGGAAGAGAAGGATGAAGATATCAAGGATGACTTCTACGATGCCCTAGAAAGAGAAATAGATACGATGTCCAAACATGATATGCGCATACTCTGCGGGGACTTAAATGCTAAAATAGGCAAAGAGCCTAGCCTATACCCCACAATAGGTAAATACAGCCTACACAATATATCCAACGACAATGCCTTAAGACTCACAGAAACTGCAGCAGCTAATAATATGCTAATAAAGTCAACCATGTTTCCGCATAAAGACATCCATAAGCAAACCTGGGTCTCAAACGACCATATTACGCGCAACCAAATTGACCATATCATTGTAGATGCCCATCATGGTAACAATATTATAGACGTAAGAAGCCTGAGAGGAATAGACGGAGACACATATCATTACTTAGTCAGAGCAAAAGTCAAATCCAGAATATCTAGCCACAAATACAATAAAACAACAATAAACTCACAATAAAACATGCACGAAATACACAATGCAGAGAAACAACAAAACTATAGAGAACAACTTGAACAAACCTTGAACTCTGAAAGAGAATACAATGATATAGAACAGCTATGGGAAGCGACTGGACAAAAACATGGTATGACGAGGAATGTCGGAAACAGCTAGAAAAAAGACAAACAGTAAGGGAGACTTGGATATAACTGCAAACAGACCAAAGTAAAAAGGAATATGACGACTGCCGAAAAAAACAAGAAAAGTAATACGCACAAAGAAAAGAAACTATAAACAACAAAAATATGAAGCTATGGAGAGAGACCGGCCCAAACCAGGCTCCAGAGAATTCTATAAAGCAATTTTCTCTGAGAAAACAAGACATAGAACCAATTCCATCCATACACCGAGAGACAATCAAGGCCGTATGATAATCGACGGTAAAGAAGTATCTGAAGAATGGAAAAAGTATTTTAGAAACCTTCTAAACATCATACAAGAAGAACAGCACAAAGAAGAGATTTATATCACAGCGGACATGCCCGTCGGACAATAAAACAGATAATGAAAAAATGCTGGGAGTTTGATCGTCAGCTTTATCAGATGTTTATAGATTTTAAACAAGCATTTGATAGAGTATGTAGGGACAGACTGTGGACAGCGATGCAGGAACTTGGCTTTCCAAAAAAACTAGTCCGGTTGATACGGATGTGTATGGAACGGTCACGATGTAAGGTGAGAGTTGGACAACAATACTCGGAGACATTTGAAATAAACAATGGACTAAAACAGGGAGATGCACTTTCACCACAACTCTTCAACTTAGCTCTGGAGCACATAATCAGAAGTGCAAGAATCGAAAAACCGAATACAGTATTTCATCGAGAAGGATCAAACTTACTACTGGCATTTGCAGACGATATAGATCTAATAGGAAACACGCGATTAAGGATGAAGGAGACTTTCGTAAGGTTTGAGAAGGAAGCAGAGAAGATGGGGCTCCAAATTAACGAAAACAAGACGAAATATATGTATATGAGCCGCAATAACCAAAGCAGAGACAGAATCGGTCAGAACATTACCATCGATGACTTTAACTTTGAGCGCGTTAGAGAATTCAAGTAACTTGGAACAACAATAACTGAAGACAATAACGGATCACAAGAAATAAACAACAGGATTCAGGCCGGCAACAGATGTATTTTTGCCCTCCAAAACCTTATAAAATCAAAACAACTAACACGACGTACGAAGATACAGGTCTATAAAACAATCATACGACCCGTTGTGATGTATGGAAGCGAAACGTGGATGATAACAAAGGCAAATGAAGAGAGACTACGTGTTTAAGAAAGAAAAATCCTAAGGAAGATCTTTGGTCCGGTGCTTGATGAAGCATCAGGACAATACAGGATAAGAACTAATAAAGAGCTTGAAGAACTTTACCCAGACGCCAACATCATAAAAGAAATAAAGTCCAGAAGACTCCAATGGGCAGGACACCTCAGAAGACATTCTGACGAACGAACAGTAAGACTGGTGTGGGAGGAAGTCCCAACTGGAAGGAGACCACGCGGACGCCCTCGTCTTCGGTGGCGAGATAATATAGCAGGAGACCTAAGCACTATGGGCGTGGAGAATTGGATGGAGGTTGCTCAAGACAGAAAATAGTAGAGGCATGTTGTCGAGTCGGCTAAAACCCACGAAGGGTTGTAACGCCACGGAGTAAGTAAGTAAGGACATGCCCGTAAAAAATCCCTCCTTTGAAGAAACCCAAAAGGCCTTAAATAAGCTAAAAAATCACAAAGCGTCAGGTACGGACGAGATACCAGCAGAACTTCTGAAATATGAGGGAGAC